GGGATTGATGACTCTCCAATTTCTCTCAAAATGAGATTACAAATTGCTACAGAGGTTGCAGGAGCCCTTGCTTATTTGCATTCAGCAACTTCCATTCCAATATATCACAGGGACATTAAAACCACTAACATTCTCTTGGATGAGAAATACAGGGCCAAAGTTTCAGACTTTGGAACTTCAAGGTTCGTATCAATGGAGCAAACTCATCTCACTACCTTAGTTAAAGGTACATTTGGCTACCTAGATCCTGAGTACTTCCAATCTAGCCAGTTCACTGAAAAGTGCGATGTTTATAGCTTTGGAGTTGTTTTGGTCGAACTCTTGACGGGAGAAAGACCAATTTCCCTGACTAGATTTGGCGGAAATAGAAGTTTGGCTACACATTTTCTGTTGGCTATGGAAGATGGTCGTGTTATGTCTATTTTTGATTCGATGGTGATTAAGGGGGTAGCAGGGATGAGCTCTTGGCAGTAGCCAACCTTGCAATGTGATGCTTGAATTTGAATGGAAAAAATAGGCCAACGATGAAAGAAGTTGCAATAGAGTTAGAAAGTATCCGAATGTCGCACATTCCCTCTACGGTTCAAACTAGTTTCGAACAAGTGATGTACCCAAAGGAATTGGAGATGACAACATATGGCTGAGTCAACATCGTCAACCTTCTTGAGTGTTGATAACCTTAATTAGTCGATCGAGCAAATAGATCATTCGATTTTTGTTGCTTAGTATAATTACATTGTCATATAGTTCAAGAATATGATATATAAATCGATGAAAGGTACCAAACTTATTAGATGGATAAAGGCTTATCTGCAATCATAAGGCCTTTTGTAACAATCATGTTAATGAAGTTTTTATAACCATGCTTGACTCTATATTATTTTGGGTTCATGTCATTGATTCTAATGTGTCGTTTACGCTTACCAAGTCACTGTACTTTACCGGATGAATATGGCAAGGGCTAATAATCTTACCAAAGACAAGAATCGAAAATCTTATCTGGTAAGTAAGGATGAGGACTCTTACCATGGTTAGCGCTTACCGGCATATATTGTTTCATACGATGCGTTTTAGTGAATAAAATCTTGCCCGGTAAGTAAGCGATAGTGTTGAATTTTACCGGTAAGTGCTTACCGGGTAAGTGTTTAAGTAAACGGCCCCTTAATACTGAAAATTGTATAAAAGATTATGATTTGATGGAATCTTAATCCAACATATAACGTAATTGTGACATAATCAGATTTATATATATAACGTGCCTTTGCAAAGAATATAAGTAACTAATTTGTAAGTAACTAATTTGTAAAATTTTAATAATTTATTTATTAAAAAAAAATTAAAAGACTTGATTATTTAAAAAATTTCACAATATATTATATAGATGACGTTGACGATTAATGGAATTTGAACCCTTTGGTCATTTTTGGCAAATAAACGGGGACTCTTGAGATGTAACGAGAAATTAATAGAATTTCTAATTAAGAAATAAAATTTGATATTTATTTTTGTATGAATAAAATAGATTTATATGATTAGGTAGGTATTATTAATCAGAAAAATATTATGTCATTAATTTTGACCCATATCCATCAAYTTGGATATTCCAATAATTTTTTTCAAGCACTTTTATGAAAACGTATTCATGAATTTTCTTTCTTAGAGATATATATATATATAATAACAGAAATCTGAAAGATATTTCAGTACCTAATCTTGGAACAGATATTTGTTGTTCAAAGCCACATCATATGTTTATTTATCAAAGAAAATAAATATATGAATTAAATAAATTTATTTTAAATGAAATGCATTGTATCCATAAGTATAATTGATAGGACAGAGAATTTTGTGACATTCAATTTTATAAGCAAGACTTTGACTTTGTATGAGTCTCGAGTATTAATATTTCTCGCAAGATTCCTCCAAAATCTTATATATCCACACTGCACCAATATGATTCCAAGCAATCGATCATGGTGTAGTAGTCTCTGTTGTAGCTTCCTCCAATCATACTCACCCATTGTAAACATACTCCCCTACTTATATATTTTCTTATCGTAATTGTTGTACCTACAAAAATGAAATTGTTTCAAGTTTACCATTTACTTGTATGTCTTTCATTAATAATAACACCAATAGCTCCTCAGAAGTACTCCAAGCCAGGCTGCTTAGATACTTGCGGGAAGGTGAAGATTCCATACCCTTTTGGAATTGGAGCAAATTGTTCAATCAACAACTGGTATATCGTTGAGTGCAACTCTTCGAAACCATACCTAACTGCACTCAACCACCTAGAAGTCCTGCTTGTAAGCTTACATAATCAAACAGTCACTGTCTATGCACAAATGATCTATGATTTCCAAAACCAAGTTCAGAATAGGAGCCAAGTCTCAAGCATCGATCTTGGTACGAGCCCCTTCCTTTTTTCCAAATTAGATAATAAATTTGTTCTCAAGGGGTGTGGCAATGCTTTGATGATAGACCATGGGAGTGTGGTTGCTGGGTGTTCAACTTYTTGTACCAATGATAGTAGTGTTAGTGAAAGAAACAACTGTTTTGGCATCATGTGTTGCCAAACAGAGATTCCTCATTATCTTCAGTCTTACAGCATGAATCTTACCAGCTTGGAGAGGCAGGGTGGAGATGTGGCTCATAGGTCTACCTTCTTGGTGGATAAGAAGTCATATGACGAAGGAAGTTTTTTTGGCCAATCTATTAGTGTGGAAAACCCTTATGTTCCCATATCACTTCTATGGACCCTAACTAACAGTGATCGCATCAATGAGCCATCTTGTTGCGATGATGGGTACCGTCGTAACTACACCGTGGATATGCTTAACGGTACCTTAGTGTCTTCTTGGGTATGCTGGGTCAGCCAAAATTATGAAGGAAACCCTTATTTACCATTTGGATGCAAACGTACGTAATATTTATTTATTAATAAGCTTTGTTTTCTAGCAGAAGGGTATGTGCGATTTTTGACACCATACTAATTTCCCTTATATCATGTGCTTTTAGTAAACAAGGTATGCGCAAGCTGCAAGGATGGTGAATCTTGTGAGTATAACACAAACTATGATGGTGACGCCTTTAACTTCACTTGTATTGAGTGGTACAAACCCTACAAATTCCAAAGCAAATCATCAGAACGGGGTGTTATTTTAGGTAATGCCTATTCTCTCCGCTCATCAATATACCCCCCTCCCCCTCTTTCTATCTCTCTCAACTCTACAAATTACGTATTAACCATTCATCTAGTCTAAAAAATATATTATCCTATTTTGTTTCTTATGTTAAAGTCATGATTATAACAAATGAATCTTATCATCTTTCGTATACATCTTAATTGTAATTAATAAATCATGATAATTGTTCATAAATATCTCAATCATTTTCTAATACAAACATTGATTATTATTGTAAGAATTATATCATGTGTATATCTATAATATATTCTAAACAATTTGACAAAAAAAAACTCTAAAAACCCATTTTTATGCATCTAATTACCGTTTATTGATGCATATTACTTAAAATTTAATATTACAAGTAAATTGTGCGTAAATACAATTTATTAAAGTTTCATTTTGAGTTCGTATAACTAACTRCAGATAAACATAATCAAATACATGATAAAAGTCTCATTTTAAATATAAAAAAATTAAAATATAATTAAGATAATTATTGAATTCTAA